CTATACTATGTCGGTTTTTTCGCGCCAAAAACGCCTTACTATACTATGTCGTTTTTTTCGCGCCAAAAACGCCTTACTATACTATGTCGTTTTTTTCGGGCTAAAAACTCCCTACTATACTATGTCGTTTTTTTCGCGCCAAAAACGCCTTACTATACTATGTCGTTTTTTTCGCGCCAAAAACGCCTTACTATACTATGTCGTTTTTTTCGTGCCAAAAACGCCTTACTATACTATGTCGTTTTTTTTTGCGCCAAAAACGCCTTACTATACTATGTCGTTTTTTTCGCGCCAAAAACGCCTTACTATACTATGTCGTTTTCTTCGCGCCAATAACGCCTTACTATACATGGTCGTTTTTTTCGCGCTAAAAACGACCTACTATACATGGTCGTTTTTTTCGGGCAAAACACGCCTTACTAGACTGTCGTTTTTTTCGCGCTAAAAACGCCTTACTAGACTATGTCTTTTTTTCGGGCTAAAAACGCCTTACTATACATGGTCGTTTTTTTCGCGCTAAAAACGCCTTACTATACATGGTCGTTGTTTTCGCGCTAAAAATGCCTTACTATACTAGCCTTACTATACATGGTCGTTTTTTTTTCGGCTAAAATCGCCTTACCATACATGGTCATTTTTTGGGGGGTAAAAACGCCTTACTATACATGGCCATTTCTTTCTACAAAAACGCCTTACTTTCCATAGTCGTTTTTTTGGGCTAAAAACGCCTTACTATACATGGTCATTTCTTTCTACAAAAAACGCCTTACTTTCCATCGTCGTTTTTTTGGGCTAAAAATGCCTTACTATACATGGTCATTTTTTTCCCCGCAAAAAACGCCTTACTACACATGGTCCTAGTTTTCCCGAAAACCGGTTTAAATATTAAGGCTCGTCCAATGGAAATGTAGTCAGCTTCCAATGCATCAAACAAATGCTTTCATGAAGCTTCATTGTCTGATGTTTCCAAGTTGACCCTGTCTTACGTTTACTTTTTGAATCCAAAAACTGCAAGTTTTGTTTTGACATTCTTCTTGCATTGAAAGGCACATGAGGGTACAACCCTAAAAATAGTTTCTCTCTGACACATCACGTGTACACCTTACACACCTGTGTGGCTTCGCAACAAAAGATTAGCGTCAATACTGAACTGCCAAGGAGATTAGCTTACTAATGTGCAGTCCAAATAAGATGACGGACGCCACGGTGGAGAGGACGATGGCGGCCGCCGCTGAGAAGCCCTTCATGATGTTGTCTGTGTACTTGACCACGATGGATGTGTACAGGCCTCCCACGCTCGCCAGGACTGAGAGCAGGACAACATCAAGAGTGGCCCAGAATGCCGACGGCTGGCGCTGTTCTTGTACTTACATACGACAAAGCACACCCAGGGCGTATAGCCAAAGAAGAAGCCTTTTTCCATGACCTTCTCACCGTCTCTCACCAGCACGCCCATGAAGGTGATGGCGATGCCAGACAGGTACATTTGGATATTCCTCACCCACAGAGACGTGTCGGAGCTCTTCAGCACCTTCTCAAAGTACACGCCTGAAGCACAGTTAAGTGCACTTACAAACAACGTCATAGTGAACATAATAGTCATAAAGATGGTGACAGGCTACCTGCAAAGCCGGAGCAAAACACAGCGATAACGATGGCCATGAACCCAAGAACAGGGTTTTGCTCAATCTGGAAACAACAAGAAGTGAAGATGGCACAGGCCGCGTTTGGAATCTCCTGCTATCCACGATGTAAATACTTTGCTTTTTTTTAATTCTTTTTTTATACCGTAATGACTTTTGGTCATCCTCGATATCAGCGTGAGGATGAACAATTTATCCAATGCAATCTCTAAATCACAATGGCTGCCATTTTTTTTTCTGGGTGAGGGCGGGATGCTTAATTTTGGTCAGATGGTCGGTTTTATTCATATGTAGTAGTGTCAATATAAAAACATCAAGGTGTGAATTAACAACTTGGAATGCAGGCATAGATTGGTTGTGGATGTGGTTGGACAGCTACTTGGACTTTGGCGCTGTCGACAGGCTTCCACTGCACGAGGCTGACTCCCACGCACAGCATGAAGATGGCGAACCACTGTCTCTTGCTGAGGGGCCGGCTCAGCATGACCACCATGCACACCGCCGTGCACGGGATCTTCAGTTGATACGTCACCTGCGCAGAGAAACACAATGTCAGCTGATTAGGCGGGGTAGCCATCACAATTGCAACAATCTGATACAGGACAGTTTCTTCAAGCAAACGCGTCCTACTAACAGGCTGAGTTTACCTGATAAACTGCAGCATCAAGGTTGCTCAATGCCAGAAAGGCCATGTTGTTCTGGATTGCGTACACCACCGAGGGCACGCTCAGCTTCAGCAGCCCTCTGGGGTTGCAGAGCACGTGCTCCTTGATGACATCAAGCAGCTTTCTTGGGCTTCCGGATTCTCTGAGAAAGACACGTAGAGTAGTTGGAAAATGTAAGTAAATCAAAAATAAAGTGCAGTGATTGGGGACCATGGGGGGGGCGGGGGGGGGGGGGTCAGCAGAGGGCAGGTATGATGGTCTCAATCTCTTTGCGGACAGGTGCCAGGAGGCAGACCAGTGGTTGGGGACCGGTCTCGAATACAGGCTTACCTTGCCAACATCCCGGTGCTCAGTATTAGTTTGATGACCTCGGCGAGGCACACGGCGGTGGTGGAGAAATACAAGTCTCCGGACGAGATGGTCCTCGTGTATCGTAAAACCACCGTGTATGTGGCCGCCACCAGAGTCATCACAGTCAGGCAGTACAGCTTGAACATCAGGCTCACATTCTCTGAGGGACGATGCCGTGAACAAGTCGTTATTGCGCTCACTGGCTGAGAAACAAACATGTCAATCAAGTGCAACTAGCATCTCGAGAGTTGTAATTTCCGTTTTTTTGTGGTGAACTTAAAGTCACCGCGACAGTTAGCATTAGCCGGTCAGCTGAATAAAAACAAGGTAGTCGGCCTCACCGCCACTCATTGTTGCTGAGGTGTGTGTGTGTGTGTCCACCCGCGTTACCAGATTAAATCATTTTTCTTGCCGTGAAAAAGCAACCACGCCAGTGGGCGAGCACACGCTTGATCGTGTCGCTTGCCTGGCCAGTAGCAGCTGCGTCAGGGCGTCTGCGCCGCCTACACGTCACCTCATCCAACTCAGTACTGCTATGGGGTGACATTAGGATCA